ACCAGCCTTGGGGAGAGATGGGCTGGAACAGGCAGGCCACATGGGCAGCTCCCAGGATGGTGGCCCCGTGATGCTGCCCTAACCAGCCAAGCTCCCCTCTCTCCAAGCCACAGAGCCCCGACTCAGCCTCCCCCTACCTTACACCAAGTGTGAGAGGCACCAACTAGCTACACAAGTTTTATTTTGAATCTGCAAAGAGAAAAACTCTTTTCTAATGTGGATGATTCTATTTACTAACTAGCCAGCTTGCTAGAGTCTGGATTATGACTTATCTAGCTTCTCTAGAGAAACAACACCTATGCATCATGGGAGACTCTAAGGCAGTGGTCGGCAAACTCATTCGTCAACAGAGCCAAATATCAACAGTACAATGACTGAAATTTCTTTTGAGAGCCAAGTTTTTTAAACTTCTTCTAACGCCACGTCTTCAAAATAGACTCGTCCAGGCCGTGGTATTTTGTTGAAGAGCCACACTCAAGGGGCCAAAGAGCCGCAAGTGGTTCATGAGCCGCAGTTTGCCGACCACGGCTCTTAGGTAACGGGCAGCTATGAAGGCTTGAGAGCTAATCTGCTGGGATTCAAATCCCTCTCCACTTGGGAAAGTTATTCTCCTATCCTGAGCCCATTCCCTCCATCTATAAAAAGGGCACAGGGACAGTGCCACCATCTTCGGTTGCTGCTATTACAAAAATACAGCCATAATCAGCGCCCATAAGGGGCCAGGTACTCATTTTTTTTCTTGTATGTATTATTTAACACAACTCTGTAGGTTTTTATTTTTGAAGTAAGCATGCAGCTCAAATCACTTTTATGTACATATACTCTATCTTCTAATCAAATCTCTACCGACGTAGATTAGTCTTGCCTGCCTATGAACTGCATATAAATAGACTCACAATATATGCTCTTGTGTGTCAGGCTTCTTCCATTCAACTTTATCTTTCTGCAATTCATCCATGTCGTTGTATAAATAAGCATTTATTCTTATATACAGTGTATAGTATTCCATTGCGTGGCTACACCACAGTTTGTTTATCCATTGAACGAGGTGTCATCATCATCATCATCATCATTCCATTTTGCAAATGGACAACAGAGCCTTCTGTCCCCCTGGAATCCTGGGGTGGGCAGACATGAACTCTGTCCAATGCGGTCATGAGCCCGTTCTCCCTGCAGTGCCATTAGGAGTCAGGGGACAGCTGCCTGACTGGCTTCAGGTCATGAGAAAGCTGCCTCGGGGTTGGCCATGGCCAGTATTTGTTTTCAAGCTGACAGGGCAAGGAAGGCCATCACTCGCAGCCCTGTACCTTGAGACCTGGCCTTTGCCAACCTGTCAACACAACTGCAAACAGCCTCAATGCCGTGGCAGCTTCCTCATCCCCTGACCAGCAGCTGACTCTCATGGGCAGGAGGAGGGAACCTGGCCTGGCCTGTGGGCAGCCCCTGCCTGGCCTGGCTCCTCAGAGATAAATTTCCCACAGTGATAGCTCAGAGGTAACCCTTGGAGACTCTGAAAATCACTGCAGGCCTTAGAGTGAGACGTTTTCTCTGCAACCCAAGCTTTACCCACCAAGAGGTGGTCACCGCCAGGACCCTGGGGCTGACTGAACCTCAAGAAAAGGCTGAGGTTTCTCCCTGCTTCCCAGCCCTCTGAACTTCTACTCGCTGCCCAGCAGAGCAGAGGCCAGGCTGAGAAGGGCTGTCTGGGAGGCAGCGGGCGGCTGGGGAGGATCCTGGCTGGTCTCCCCAGCCCCGTCCTCCTCAGAACGCAGATAGAGTTCCAGTCGGTGCGGCCAGACGTGATTAAACGGTTGGCTACGTGCAGGGCGGGCGAGACCCCCGGGGGAAGAAGGGCACAGAGCCAGCTTCCAAGGCGCCCAGGGCACCCTTTCCTGTCGATCATTAACAGAAGCCACCCTGCCACCGGCGGAGAAGGGGAAAGTCCAAGGAGGTGGCCTGCCCCTCCTCCCAGGCCCCGTCCTCCTAACTCGCCAATCCGGGGCCTCGCGGGACATGAGATCATGACACTCGGTGGAGCAGGGGTGTGCGGAGTCATCTAATCCAACTGGCAGCTCTCACGCCCCTGCAAAATCTCCTCAAAGGCCAAGGGAGACAGGAACTAATGTGGGTCGATGTGCAGTAACTCTGGGCCAGGGACTGTGCCAAAGGTATGCAGGGTGCCGGCCTGTGACATGGCGGTAAAAGGCAACTTTGGAGCGAGGCTGCCTGGGTTCAGATCCTGACACTTCTAGCGGTGCGACTCATCCGTGCACCGGGCACCCAATTTCTCCATCTGTACAACCGAGATGGTACAGACCTTCCTCCAGAGGGTCACTGAGCACTTTACAAATGAACACACATGCAGTTCCAGACTACCTGGCACTGAAAAAGAGTGGTCATGGCTAACGGTCCACTGGATCCTCACAACCCCCTCTCCCCACAGCCGAGATCAGATAGAAAATCCAAGGTTGCTGGGACCGGTTTGGCTCAATGGATAGAGCGTCGGCTTGGGGACTGAAGGGCCCCAGGTTCGATTCCGGTCAAGGGCATGTACCTTGGTTGCGGGCATATCCCCAGTAGGGGGTGTGCAAGAGGCAGCTGATCGATGACTCTCTCTCATTGATGTTTCTAACTCTCTATCTCTCTCCCTTCCTCTCTGTACAAAAATCAATAAAATATATTTTTAAAAAAAGAAAGAAAGAAAATCCAAGGTTGAGCCATTTGCCCAAGGCACAAACTGATTAAGGGGGACTGGATTTGAACCCAGGTTGAAGGATTTCAACACCTTTCTTCCGTGCCATGGAAACTTCCTCCTGCCCTGACCCTGTCTGCCCCTTTGGGAACCAGTGCTTCATGGTCCAATTGGCTGCAAAACCCAGCTTGTGTCTGCCCCCGCGTTTGCTCCAAGGCCCTCTTTTCACCAGAGGGCCACTGAGGAACAGCAGGTTCCCTGCCTTCCTCTTTAAGATGAGGCTTCCAGGCCTAAAAAGGTATTAAGTCATGGCTCAGTGGCCAAAACAGACCTCATTTTTGTGAGCTGCTCCAAGGGAAGACCTTTTTAGCCAAGGGCTGGACCGTGGGTGCAGGGCCAACAGCCACAGAGGCTCTGCCCAGCCAGGGCAGACCTGGTGCAGGCCCCCAAGCCAGAGATGCCCCAAGGTCTAGGGCAGGAGATGGGGAAGTAGGCCTCATGGCCCAGGATGTTGGCTGACAAAGGCTGGCCTGGCCTTTCCTGCCCCACTTCCCTTTGTGGGGACCTTGCCTCCAGCTCTCTCTGCATGGCTCCTATGCCCCCCTAGACTGTAGATGATCTCAGCGATAGAAGGCCCCTGCCAGCTGGGCTCAGACCTCCCCGGACTCCCTGCCAGCCCAGAGCCTGCCAGCTGCTGAGGCCCTTTCATCTGCTGCAGTCCTGGAAAAAGAATGGGCCCGAAAGAATTCTGCCGTTTCCTTTCCCAAGTAGCTTTGACCTATCTTCTCCACATTTAAGAGCTAGCTGGTAGACAGATCAGGCTCTTGGGTAACCAGGCTCACTTGGGACAGAGAGCTTCCTGGGTCCCTAAGAAGACCCCCTTGTCTTCCCAGACCACCGCCCACGCCAGGGCTTCCTTTGGTATCACTCAAGAGCTGATTTGATGGAGAACATTCTGGGCAGGCAGTGGGTATGCTTAGTCCCCTCTGAACCCAACCAGGAGCCAGAAAATTATGTGTCTCCAACTTGCCCATCTACGCCTGCAGGGAATGAGTTCAAGGTGAGTGATTGCTTTAAGTCAGAGGAAGATCACATGCCATGACACCAACACACACAAACACACACACACACACACACACACACACACACACGTCAGTCCCTCCTCAAGGGACAGAGGCCTACGTTCACTCCAGTCCCAGAAGGCTTGCTTTTCCCTTTCCCTTCACCACCAGCTTTTGCCCTCTAAGAGGTAATAGTCCCTATTGTACTTCTTACCCCTGCCCCACAGCAGGTAGGTACCTACGGGCCTGGAAAGGAAGAGTAGACAGGGTGCATAAGGACAGCCTCAAGGACAGCCCTGAGCCAGCCCGTGTCGTCTGCAGACCTAGCTGCCTTTGGCCCTGTGTAGTCAAGGTGGAAATCCAGCTTAGCCCCCCAAAGCTTACTGAGTGCCAAGAACCAAAGGCAGATGAGTCTCAACTAGCAGTATTCGTCTCTGCCTCCACCAAAAGAAATCCTCCTAAGAACCAGACTTGGGATGTTCAGAAAGATCCAACCTCTCTGGCAAGCAAAACATCCCCTCAGTGGGCATCTGGCCTCGGCTGGGTTGTTTCTAACCAAGACCCCGCCTTCCCAAGATGACCATTTACCTGCTCTGCATGGTAGTGAGGTGTCACAAAGACCTAAGGACGACTTCCCACGATGCTGGCCATTTTATATCCACTTCCCCTTCACAGCCCTCCCAATACACAAGCATGTCCAATGCCTGTGAAACCTCGTGGTCCCCGTGCCACGTATGAGCCCCTCCCCACCCTGGATGCACCTCTCCAGGCCCACATGGCTGAGGTGCATTGCTGAGGTGAGAGTTCATCTCACTCCAGGTAGTTTGAAGCTAGTCACTTCCCCCAAGGGTGGGTAATGAGCCTGGAAGCACCCACGCGGCTCTCAAATCCAGGCTTGCTGGCGTGCCATGTGCTACAGCCCCCCTGCACCATCTTGGCACTGCACCACCACACACAGGCTAGGCAGAGAAGACAGGGAGCCCCTGTGCCTCCGTGGCCCTGAAGAGCCCGAATCCACAGGTGGGCAAGGCTGGCCTTTGGTCAACAGCCAGGCAGATCACTTAGCAGTACAGGCTGCCCTGCAATAAGCCTCCTCCCCTCCCCACTCCCCCACCCCCCGCATCTCTGCGCTCAGCAGGCTTCCAGCACCCACCAAGGGAGCTGGCCATTGGTGAACCTGCCACCCAGACAGGAGCCAAACCCACAGGGGAAAACCGCAAGCCCAGTGAAACCATCTTTACCATCCGTTTCTTGAAAAAAAAAATGGGGTTTATTGATTTTTTAAACTGCAAATAGTCGTTACAAAAAGTTTCCTTTTAAATAAATTCACACAAAGAAAGAGAAAAAGAAAGCGACGGTAGTGACCAGCAAGAGGAATAATAATTACATTCATCTTAATGTGTGTGTGTGCCAGTTCTGTTTGCATCAACATTGGAAAATGCTAAACCTGGAATCCAGAACCTCAAATCTGTCATCGGAATGTCTTGAGATGGGCACGTGGAAGTCAAAGGGTTTCTCTATTTTTTATTTTTTCCCCTTTTAGAAGAGATACATAAAAAAGTTGTTTTCCTTCTGTACTGTCACAGAACTTCTACATACATTCTCAGTTCTAGTTGTGAAAGGCCTAAAGAGAAAGAAACTCAATTTGCAGTCCAACACAAAGGGGGGAAATTTCTAAAATAAATAATCCAACAGTTTTTTGCATTTTTTTTAAATTAATTTTTCATTTTTTTAAAATAAAATAACCAAAAAAAAGTGTAAAGTTACAAAAAAATGTCGTTGAAGAATAATATATTAAAACTGTGGAAAAAAAGGGAAAAAAAGACACGTCACAAAATTTTAAGATTAATATGAAGATCATAATTTAACATAAAAGAATATATTCTATGGATTTGTCATCCCGATAAATATGAACAAAATTAACAAAAAAAAGCATAGTTTGGCAATAAATACGTTTTGATAAGTTAAATAAGCTTTTTTATATTGATGTGCAGTGACAAGCAAAAATTTTGCTCTCCAATTTCTGAAAAGTTATATGAAGTTTAAAACCCAGGGAAAAAAGCATGGCGTGAGTGCTCCGAGGATAGTCCTAAGGTATTCTAGAGCAAAAACCATTAAAGCTACGTCTACGGGAAATCGTTTTACACAGATATTGTACGTGGAATGAATACCATTAACTCTCACCCCTTACATGTTTTTTTAGCTTTTCTCTCACTTTTTTGTCATTTTTTTTTTAAGATGTCACATATGAACTGGGGAACTTTAGCACCAAAATCAAGTCTCTCATAGTCCATCTAGCTTCCCCTTCCTCCCCACTTAAAAAAAAAAAAAATAGAAGAAAAAAATTAAATCACAAAGTCCCACTTATGTCACAATCTTCATCCACTTTTTCAGTCTTCCTTCCTGTAGACCTGTGCGAACCCGGGCAAGATTAGTCAACAGAGGTTCGGGTCGGGAAGAAAAAAGGTTTTTGAACGTCAAGATAGGTTTCCCCAAAAACCCGAGTCTGGCAAAAACTCTCCCAAGGGGGGTGGGGGTGGGGGCCTGCTGGGGAAGGGAGGAGGAAGCGTGTGGGAGACTGAAATAAGGGAAGGTGCAGTTGTCTCGCCAGTGGAGGGAGCTGCTGGTCTGGGTCCCCTCCCTCCCCTCCCCCCTCCCCATGGGCAGAGGCTCTGGGAGGCCCACGGGTGCCCCCTGGCGCTCGAAGAGGTAATGTAGTCACAGTGACAAAGTTAGATTACAAGGCACTAAGTTGCTTCTGTAAACTGTTACTGCTTTTTCTTTTTGTGATTTGGCACTTAAGGCTTAAGCCGGGGAGGACAAAAATAAAAAAAGGCATCTTACTGACAAATATGGGACTTGTCTGTTATGCATGGTAAGTGGGCTATAAAATCAAGGGAAGGGGGTTTCAAGCCAGAGGAAGCTACTGACAAACTGACTTGTCCTTATGTTAGAGGGGGATGGGGGGGGGGGGGGAGAAGGGTTAAAAGGGCGGAGAGGGAGGAGCATTCCAAGGTTCTAGGGGAAAGGGTTTGAGCTTAACCTTGTTAATGGAAGGGTTTGTAGGGTAGGACAGGGAGATGAGGGTAGGTGGGACACAGGGATGGCGTTGAGTGGGGTAGGGGGACCCTCCCTACCCTGGCTTAGTCATCTGAGATGGAAAGTCTGCTGAAAATGGGCAGGCGTCTTGAGTTGTCCAAAGTGGGGGAGTCTGAACCACTGTGGCTGCTGCTGGAGCTGCTCAGGTAGCCCTCCTGGTCCGAGAGAGAATCCTGAGGGCTGGGGGGAGAGTCAAACATGTGGGGGGACTCGGACATGGGGCGGAAAATGAAGGTGGTCGGGGAGCCACCCCCGGGCAGCCCCATGCTAGGGGCAAAGAGGCTGGCCAGCTCCTGGCTGGAGAAGGCAAAGGGGTTATTGGAGCCGTCAGGCAGGGTGGGTGAGGCCAGGAGGTCGTCGGCGCTCAGGATGGGGGGTGGGGTGATGGACGTGGGGCTGTCCAGCAGCCCCGTGGCAGCGGCGGTGGCAGCGGCACTGGGAAACCCAGCAAAGCTAAAGCTATGCTGGAGGCGGGGGCGGTCGGCGGAGAGGTCCCGGGCCCCCGCCAGGGCGCGGCGCTCCTCCGCGTTGTGGATGAAGTGGCAGCGGGGCCCGTAGGGGCAGAAGCCGATGGTGTGGAAGGTGCGGCACAGCTCCGTCTTGTACTTGGGGTGGCGGGTCAGGCTCCGCAGCTCGTGGATGCCGTGCGCGAACTGGCACTTGTCCCCGTACTTACAGGCGCCGTTCTCCTCGAAGGGGCGGCACAGCTCCGTCTTGTAGCGGCTGGAGTTGACCTGGCCGCCGCCCGGCTGCTTCTGGGCGGGCAGCAGCCGCTCGCCCCCTTCCGAGAAAGAGCGGTCTCGGAAGCGGCTATCCCGCGAGCTCAGGGCTGGGGCCGGCTCGCCCTTGAGGCTGCTGAGAAGCTGGTTCTGGTGGAACTTGGAGCTGGGCAGGGTGACCGAGTGCCTCCGGGAGAAGCCCCCACCGGTCGGGGTGCCCACCGCCTTCCTGTCCAGCAGGCAGCCCCCTGCACTGGGGGTACTGTAGTTGAGCATCTTGTTACTCTGGAGGAGAGAGAGAGGAGAGAGAGGACGGTGAGTGACAAGGGCCAGCCACCAGGCCCCAAGAGAGGGCCTGCTGGTGGCAGCCCCTCCACGACCAGAAATGCCCACCTCCCAGACACCATCCCCACGCAGTCCCTGGCAGGCCCCTCTCCCTTTTCCCACAGACCAGCTACCTGGGTTTACTTTGGCCCCATGCATTAAAAAAAAGTTTAAAAAAATTTTTTTAAATCCTGGCCCACGTGAGAAGTTGTTTTATGCATGCACCCTATCCCATGCAGACCCCAGAAATGGACCCCCATTATCCAATCCCAAAGCTACCACTTGTATCCATAAAACTCAACTTCTTTGCCGCCCAAATAGATTCCTCAGTTCCGAAGACCCCACATAGCTCGGACCTCTCTAGATCGCCTCCCCCTGAGACTGCCTCCCCCCAACAAAAGCAGGTAAACCTTAGAGGCTAGGAGCCCCACCCCCTTTTTAATCAGTCCCCGCTTAGTCAACCTCCACTGAACTTGGCCTAAGACTCTTCACTTCCTCCTTCAGAAGCCTTCCCTTCCTTTAGCAACAGGTTTCCAGACTGCCTTTTTGCTTTTCTCTTGCTGGGGGAGAGGGAGGAAGCCCCTGTTCCCTGTCCGGGGTTGGGGGGAGGAGGAGAGAGATGTGATTGTTGAAAATAAAACTCACTGCCCCATGCTCGGGAAAAGGGTGCCTTCCACAGTGCCCTCGCCAACATCTCTGCCCACCCAACCTCACTCCCCTGGGAAGATGCCTTTGCAATTAGTCTTCTGGCTCCGAGAGCAAGCTGGAATAAGAGCGCCAGTGTTTAATCTTTAACGCCAAGCTGCAGGTGGGAAGGAAAAAGAAAGCACCAAATCCCTCCACAGGATGCCAGTCAATAATGGACTTTGGGGAGGGGGGAGGGGGACACAGCCACCACAGGCAGGTTTCTGTTCCAATGGGTTTCACCTGCCCAAACTGTACCCAAGATTTGGAAAGGGTGCTGGGGGTGGGGGTGGGGAACGACCTGGGAGTTGGCTCCCGGCCCATGTGGGTGTCATTGTGCAAATTCTAAAGTTGGTCCCTTAGGATCGGCTGCTGGGGATCTGGAATCTGTAACAGCAACCGCCCCATGGAGAGCGGATTACAGGAACCAAGTTGAGAGCCGGTTCCCAACAATGAGGTTCATTTAAAAAGTCCTGTGGGGGGGAAAGAGGGGGAGAGAAAGAGAAACAGATCAAAGAGCGAGAGAGAGCTGGGAAGAGAAGGGAGAAGAGCGGGAGGACGCGGGCAGCCAGGGTGGCCGGGGTTTGGGAAAGCGCAGGGAAGGAAGGAAGCTGAAATCCCAACTTTTTGATGTGTCTCTTCAGCTCCTCCGCGTCCCTGCGCCCCAACCCTGCAGCCCTGGGGCCCTGGCAGCTAGCTGCGCCGACTGGAGAGGCGAGCTGGAGAAAAGAGAGCAACATGACCCGACGTGTTTAAAAAGAACACAAAAACACTTCAGCAATTAAAAGCAGCCTAGCAGCTTCCCTGTTTCCTTAGGGATAAAACTGGGGAGTCCACGGGCTTTCTCTGCTCAGTATACTTCGCCCGCCCTCCCGGGGCACTCTGGGCTTAAAACTTGCTTTTTCTCACACCCGCTGGCAAGCTACACGGCTTAAGGGCGCCCCTGTTAGATCCTTCCTCCCCAAGACCCTTGAGTTCAGACCGGCCTTTTTGTTACCGTGTCCCCCGCCCTCCATTTCCACGAGCCAGCGGCCCCCCCGGGGGGGGGGGGGGAAAACAATCTATTGAGTCTACCCCAGCCCCCCTTCCACCCGAAAGTTTGCAGCGCGAATGTCTATCCTGAGAGGAAGACGGGCCGCGTTGGGACCGGCGGAAGCCTCACAGCAACTCTGCAATCTCTTCTGAATGACAACTCCTGGCCCTTTCCTCGGAGATCACCAGCCCCTTCCAAACCCACCAGAGACCATCTCCAGGCCAAACGTCCGGAGACTCCCCTCCCCGCGGGAGCGAGCCCCCTCCCCACCCGCCCGCCCGCAGGCAGGCCGGCGAGGTGGCTCCGGAGCCTGGAACCCCTCCGGGGGCGAAGGGGCCCAGAGCGCACCCCGGGACACCGAGCAGGCCGTGGACCTGGGCTCCAGGGGCACGTGACGGCCGGAAAGTGGCCCCCCGAATCTCCCGAGGGATCCCAGCCTCGCCAACTTAGCTCTCCCCCAAAAAAACTCTGGTCTCTGGATCCCATTCCCATGCAATCCCCGCCAGACACTGCTGAAGCTCCAAGGGCGGGGAGCAGAGGGCCGAATTCCTTCAAACTGGGCAGGGGCGGAGGGATGGGCGAGGAAAAGAAAAGAAAAACTATCGTCTGGACTTTTTCCCCCCTTGACTTTCCCGGACACAAACTTTTGGGGATTTCTCTTTCTCAGGGCAAAAGGGATCCTCCTCTTTTGAAAAAAAAGCAAGCACTCCGCCCCACTTTACCTTGCACAAAACTTCGCTCAGGTCGAAGATGGTGGTGGACACGAGGGTGGTGGTCATCGTGGGCGCTCGCTCGGGGCAGGGGCGCGATCGGCGGGTGGCGGTGACGGTCCCGGTGCGGGGAAGGCGCAGCCTCCGGCTGTCCGGTCAGGAGTCCCACACGCCTGCTCCCGGGGCCCCTCGCCTTTCTGACTCTCCGGCTGCGGGCGCGCGAAGCCCGGTTTATAGTAGCCACGGAGGAGGAGGAGTTTGAGCGTATTTAAATGAGGAAGAGGAGGGAGGAAAAAAAGTTGATTGACACTTAAGTTGAATCAGCCATGCGGTCAAACTCCGGGAGGGGAAAAAAAAAACTTTCAAAAGGAAGGAGGGGGGGGAAGGGAGACGAGGAAAGAAGGCGAGGGGAGGGGAGGGGAGGGAAAACCACTCAGAGCGGCGCACAACTTTTTTTTCTCTTAAAGAGGAAAAGTTTGTGGAGTCCGCCCGCCTCGCCTCGCTCCCCCGCGCCCCGCTCCCCAGCCGCGCGCCCCTCCTTTGTCAGCCGGGGAGCTGGGTTCTGTGACATCACCCATTCCACCCTCTTCGGGGTTCTTGTTGTGCTGTTGTGTTGTGTCGGGCAAGAAGGCGGGCTCGACTTTCTCTTTTTTTTTTTTTTTTTTTTTTTTTTTTTTTTTTTTTTTTTTTTTTTTTTTTGCAAGCGGGAGCAGAAGCCCGTCCGGAGCGAGCGCCGCTGCGGTTTCCATCTTGAGCTGATCTTTCTCCAAACTTCTCCGGGGCCCCGCGCTGCTCCCGCTCCTGCTGGATGGTCTTCCGCACCCGGCTCCCCTCCGCAAACCTGGCGGGGGAGGAGACTGGACATTGGGGACCGCACACAGCCCTCCACTCGGGTTTTTTCTTTTATCTTTTTATTTCCCCCAAGGGGGTGGTGGTGGGAGACTTTCTCCCCCGAGGAGGACCCGGCCCGGCGGGGGGTGAGCGCAGCACGGTTTGGCGCGCCGCACCCGCCTACACCCGCGCTCACTTTACAGCCAGCAGCACCCTCTGACTGTGGGCCTAGGGGGTCGGGCAGGGGGCTGTTTGTTTTAGGACTGGGAGTTGTATTTACTCCACGTATCCGTTCTTTAAACTTTTTTGTAAAAAAAAAAAAAAAACATCCAGCAACATACAACTTTCCAGGCGCGCTCTGACCTGTGAGCCGCGCGCGCGCACGCGCGCACACACACACACACACACACACACACACACACACACACACTCACGCCTAGACGCTTGAACAATGAGAAGGGGGGGAAAAAGTTACTTTGGCAAGAATGAAAGTAAAGAGATGGGGGCGGCGACACTTCACCTATTGTTGTTCCCCGCCCGCCCCCTCGGGAACGGAACATATGGCTTGTCATGCCGCGCGGTTTGGGCGGGATGGGGGGGAGGGGGGCATGGGCTAAAGCCCCCCACCACCACCCGATAGATTGTTACTCCTGTAAAAACGGTAAGATTGTATTCATTTACTGTCCGGTTCGGATGCCTCTCCACTCACCCAAATACAGAGCTGTTGGCGTGTCCCCCGCCCCCCCCCCCACGCCCCCGCGCGCGTGTGCAGCGAGGAGCGGCAGAAACCGCGGGGCCGCGTTTTCCTCTCCCCGCGTGCCGCCCGCCCTCGGCCCGCGCACCTTCTTCCCAGCACCGAGGCCGCCGGGTCTGTTACGAAACCCCGCGTGCTGAGTGGCTGAGAGCGGGTTCCATTGCGATGTAATTAGGTCACCCCATTAGGAGCACGTTTCTTTGGAAAGGACGGGGCGGGCGGAGCGGCGCGCTGGAGTCGCACTCTCACCACCACCACCACCACCACCACCCACACACACACACACACACACACACACGTTTTACCGCATTTCTTATTTATTCATCAACCTTTGGCAAACCCGGGAAACCTTCCCAATCAGCACTGTTTTTAGGAACCGGTTGTTTTTCCGTCTTTGCGAAACACACAACTTTTGCTGCAACCGTGAACCTGTGTGATCTCCGTCTCCCCCGCTGCACAACCCAGTCTGCTTGGATTTGTGTTCTTGGACTTAAGTGGATGGCCCCCGTTTCTAACCCGGCTTCCTGAGCGCCCTTTGCTTTTCCCTCTCCTTCTCCAGCCGCCTGTTGCTTCCCTCCCTCTGCTCTCCCATTTTGCAGCTTTTCTTGAAATCTGGCAAACGCCAGGAAGGGGAATAACTTGCATGCATCTTCATTGAAATCAATCAAGTGTAAGTTTCTTTCTTCAAGGGAGGGATATTAACTCGCTCCCTCCTTCCCCGGCTCCTCGAAGGGGGCGGGGGGCGGGTTCGTGCAGTTTCTTGGAGATGAGGTAATGAGTTCCAGATTGCAGGACAGAGTAGGGTGCGCGTTACAAACCACAAGGTTAGTCTGCATCCCGATGTGAAGCTATTTCGGTTTGGTTTTGTTTTTTTATCCCCCCCAGCCCCTCCCCCCAAAGGGTCTAGGTCTGGAGGGTTCTGGAAGCAGTGCTGGGGGTACAGGATGAGCTGGAGATCCGAGGGGTGAGGGGGACGCGCGGGGCGGATGTCCCCGCCCAGGGCCAGGCCGCCCCGCTGCTCCCCTCTCTGGGGGGCGCTCTTCCCCCGCGGCCGCGGGACGGGCCTCGGCGCCCCCCGGCCAGTGAAAACGTTTTTCTCCCCCAAAGAGAACGCGATTCCTCGAATTTCCTCCGCATCTCCAGCTCCCGGAGGGCGGGCGCGCCCCTCCCTCCCCCGCTCCCGGAGGGGGCGCGGGCTCCGCGGGGCGGCGGCCGGCCTGGCCCGCTTGCCTCGGAGTTGTTTACCGGCCCGGCCGACCGACCGGGTTGGTTCCAGCTCCCAGAGCCTGCCTCTATAATTAAACCCTTTTTTTTTTTTTTAATTGTCGGGTTGAAACGTCATTTCGGGGACTTTCCAAGGGTGAGGGAGCAGAGGGGAGGGAGCGAGCCTCCTTAACCCTTCCCTGACCCGGCCGTCCACGCCGCGGCGGGCTGGGGCGCAGCGTCTGGCACGGCCGTGGGGGGGGGGGGGGGGGATCTGGGGACCTGGGCCGGCCAGTCCCGCGGAGAGGTGCTCCGCAGGTGCCCCAAGGTGCGGGGACCGGCAGTGAGCCCCCACCCGGCAGGAAGCGCGGCGGGAGGCGTGCGCGGCCCTCCCCGCTCCGGCCCGGCGGGGCGCCCCGGTTCCTGCCCCGCGCGGTGCGCAGAGGCCGCCCCTTCACCTGCCCCGCCGCTTCCGACTGGGAGGCGCCCGCCTGGCCCTCCCGCCCGGCTTCCGGGTCCTCCCTGCTCGCGGGAAGCCGGTCTCCGCCAGGGGAGGGCCTGGCCAGGTAGTTTTGGCTTGGGGGTACTAGGTTCTGTCAAAGGGGGGAAAGTGAAAGTCTTCGGAATTGGGGAAACCCGACGGATCTATGCAGTGACCAGTCTGGACGCTGGGCGCACCTCGAGGCAGGTGAGAGTGGGGGGCCCTGGGCCGCTGACCTCCTGGACCGCTGAACCCCTAGGTCTTTTCACCAAGCGCCCCTCATGGCTACTCCCTCCTCAGAGCCCCCTCCTGGCCCGCCCTCGTGGCAGGCAGCGCAGGACCCGTCTTCCTGGAGCCTCGCTGCGATGTTACAGTTCTTCCCCGGGCTCCAGATCATTGGCAAAATCCCCCAAATTCTTCGGATTTGGTCCCTCTTCCTTTCCCCCCAACCTCTGCTGCCATTCACCTGTTGGAGGACTGGATAATTTCCAGTTTGGAGATCCTGGGACAGCCCCAGAATCCCCGGATTAGAGGAGAGGGAGGGCCAAGTGCTGTCAGAGAGCTGCCTGGTTTAGATGGAACTAGTGCCTGGGGAATGCAGATTCCTCAGCTTGGGCCCAGGCCCAGTGAATCAGGCCCGTTGGGTGGGGCCAGGAATCAGCATTTTGGTAAACTTTCTGCTAGTGACTCACACACTAAGGTTTGAGAATCTGTGGTCCGGGATTTTAAAGTTGGGCCACTCTGGAGCCAGATAAAGTCTTTGTGACTTTTCAAGACACTGACCAAAGCCTCAGTGTCCTCACCTCTAAAGAAGAGATAATAAATAGGCCTGAGATTGGCCAGTGAAGTGCCTAGTTCCATGCCTGGCTGAAATCGTTAATATGCCTCGCCGCTGTGTGTAACTAAACCATTCTTTGGGCCTCGTTACATCACAAAAACCCGGGCTGGGGTATATGCCTGTTGCAAAAGGATTCTTTCGCATAGATGTCATCAAATGGTCAACTGACAGCTTCGATCTCTATCGCTTTCTGGCCCCACCCCCAGCCCTGGATAAGGCAGGCCCTGAGGCAGCCCCCCAGACAAAAAGGTTTTTCTGGTTGGAAATGTCAGTAGTACCAAGATTGAGAAACTGTGTGAGGGGTTCTTTCCAACTCCAAGTTTCCTGCATACTTAGGCTTCATCCCTGCCCTCAAACCTTTCTCCACATTGCAGTGCAAGCGGTCTTTTTCAAAACCTAGATCAGATGTTGTGTTTCAATTGCCTAAAACCTGTGGCTCCTCATCCCTCTTAGAATAAAAACAAAACTCTTAGCCCAGAAAAATCTGATACTTTTACTGCTCCAGCCTCCTCCCCTTCCCACCACAGCCTCTCCCACGGTGCAGGGCACTCCTGTGCTCTCAGTTTCAGAGGAAAATGAATAGTCCTTCCTCCTGCCCCAGGGCCTTGACACTTGCTATTTCTTCTACTGAATGGAGCTTCCTTTGGCCCAGATAAATTTAAAATTACCCTTTACAACCCATTTCAAGCATCACTTCCTCAACCATTTTTGGAGCCATTCTTGCTGTTCCTCTTCCCCCATCCAAGCAAGGTTATCAGCCTTCTCTCTTAGGTTCACATGGAATGTTTATTTCCTTCCAAGTAGTTATTTCACTCGGTTTGTTAGTATACATTCCTACACACTTTGCTTCTTAAAATATAGTAACATTGACCTTGATTTGGTATAGAGCTTTATGAATTTTAGCATGTGAATAGATTCATAAATCACCACCGTGATCCAGAAACATAACAGATTCTTGCAGTCAGATCCTCCCCCATCCCTTACTCTGTCAACCACTGCTCTGTTTTCTGTACTGTAATTTTGTCTTTTCCAGAATGCCAGATAAATGGAATCATGTAGTCTGTATGATTTCATACAGTAGAATGCCTTTGAGATTTATGTGTGTCGTTGCGTGTATTAATAGTTCATTCCTTGTAATTGAACAATAATATTTCACTGTATGTGTATACCACCAGGTTTTTATCCATTTACCTGTTAGAGGACTGGATTATTTCCAGTCTGGAGCCATAAAGAATAAAGCTGCAATAAACACTTGTGTACAGATTTTTGTGGAAGATAAATTCTTGTTTCTCTAGGGTAGGATTGTCTAACTCAATCAGAGAAGGGGCCAAAATCTAAAATCCAGCCTAAATCGCGGGCCGAATGGTTTACTGAATAGTCATAAACTGTCATTGTGATGGAAACGCAGCGGAGTGCAGTGATGACAGCGCGGTGCGGGCCACATTGCAAGGCCTGGCGGGACGGATTTGGCCCGCGGGCCTTGTGTTTGACACATGTGCTCTAGGGTAAATAAGTAGGAGTGGAATTGCTGAGTCATATGGTAGAAGTATATTAAAATTATAAAAAACTGCCAAATCATATTTGAGAATTGATATACCATTTTGCATCTCCAACAGCAATATCTAAGATTTCCAGTTGCTCCACATACTTACCTGCACTTATTATTGCACTTTTTATTTTAGTCATTCCAATAAGTGTGTAGTGGTTATCTTATTTCACTTTATGATCTCTCAAGGTTTTAATTTGCATTTTTCTAATGGGTAATGATGGTGATCATAGTTCATAAGCTCATTTGTCAACTGTATGTCCTCTGGTGAAATGTCTGGTCAAGTGTTTTCACCATTTTTTTCTTTTTTCTTTTTTTTTTTTCTTTTGTTAAATATATTTTATTGGTTTTTTACAGAGAGGAAGAGAGAGAGATAGAGAGCTAGAAACATCGATGAGAGAGAAACATCGACGAGCTGCCTCTTGCACACCCCCTACCGGGGATGTGCCCGCAACCAAGATTCATGCCCTTGACCGGAATCGAACCTGGGACCTTTCAGTCCGCAGACCGACGCTCTACCACTGAGCCAAACCAGTTTCGGCTTCATCATTTTTTTCAATTGACTGGTTGTTTTCTTTACTGTTGAGTTTTATAAGAGTTCTTTATGTATTCTGGATACAGTTATGTTGTCAGAATGTGATATGCAAATATTTTCTTCAGTTTGTATCTTATCCTTTCATTCTCTCCACAATGTTCACAGAGCAAAAGTTTTTAATTTTGATGAAGTCTAATTTATCAGTTTTTTCTGCATCATGCTTTTGGCGTCTTAAGAACTCTTTGCCTAACCTTAGGTCATTAAGATTTTCTGTTTTCTTCTAAAAGTTTTGTAGTTTATGTTTTACACTAATATCTATGATCCATTGGAAGTTAGTTTTTATGTGAAATTTAGGTTGAGGTTCGTTTATTTTATTTTATTTTATTTTTTATTTTTTTGCCTATGGATGTCCAATTCCAACACTTTATTGAAATGATTATCACTTTTCCATTGAATTATTTCTGCACCTATCCAAATATCAGTTGACCATATTGGAATGACTCTCTTTATTCTGTTCCACTGAGCTGTGTGTTCATTCCTTTTCTAATACCACACTGTCTTGGTTATTGTACAATAGCTTTATAATAAGTCTTAAAATTAGGTGGTGTAATTCCTCTGGTTTTATTTTTAATTTTCAAAATTATCTTAGCTATTCTAGTTCCATTGCCTTTTTATATAAATGTAGGTCCAGCTTGTCTATATCTTTTTTTAAAAATACAGGGCTTTTTATTAGAATTGCATTAAATCTATAGATCAGTTCAGGAAGAAATGGCACCTTTACAATGTTGAGTCTTTTACTCCATGAAAATGGTATGTCTATTTATTTAGATCTTCTTTTATTTCTTTAATTGGTGTTTTATACTTTTTAGCATACAGATACTATGTATATTTTGCTAGATTTATACCTAATACTTTTGGGAGGGAGTAACTATTGTAACTTTTTAAATTTTCAGTTTCCAATTTCTCATTATTAGCCTATAGAAATACAGTTGACTTTTGTACATTAACCTTGTATCCTATAATCTAATAAAGTCACTTTAGTTATAAGATTTTTGGGTACATTCCTTAAGTTTTGTTTTTACATGTTCACTTTGTTTTTTAACATGGACAATCATATTATCTGCTAATAGGAATAATTTAATTTCTTTCTTTCAATATTATACATAATATTTCTTTTTCTTGTCCTGTTGCCCTGTTTAGGATTTCCGGTATGATGTTGAATGAGCACGGTGAACGTGAACACCCTCATCTTGATAGCAGTCTCAGGGGAAAGCATTCAGTCTTTCACTATTAAGTGTGATGTTCGTTGTCGGGTTTTTTGTAATCATTTAACTTTTTGACATCTCCCTTCCCACCAGGATGTGTGCTCCAAGAGTAAGGTGACCAGATTTTAACATTGGTAAAGCAGGACACTATTGACCAGAGGGGGTGGGGGTGGGGGGGTTCTTGATTAAAAATTTGGTTTTTATGGAGCAACAAAAATTTTCATAGAACGCAAAAATAGTTTTGTAATATATTTTTTTAATTTCAATGTAAGTACAATTTACAAATATAATAAATAAATAAAAATTATGGATAGTCATAAGTGTCACTTTCAGGGCTGGCGCTAGACTTTTTGCCACCACTATAAAATACAAATAATACGAGTACTGTCTGCTAAATTCAAGAAAATTTATGTATTTATGAAATAAATAAATAACTTACCTAAATTATCTGAATAGCTGATTTGTAATGGCATCACTTGTTTAACTAGCTTACTAACACGCAGTACGATGTGTATCATCTGAGAGATGTTTTCGTAGTTGCCAATCCCAAAAAATGCCATTGTTCATTAAGTCCAAACAATGGTGGTCTAATTCTAACAACTGATCAACAATTCAAACTTTGATAAGCAGTTCTTGATAATCAGTTCTCAACAATTATTTGTTATTATTAAAGTTTAACATTATAGCCGGGACCGGTTTGGCTCAGTGGATAGAGCGTCGGCCTGCGGACTGAAAGGTCCCGGGTTCGATTCTGGTCAAGGGCATGTACTGTGGTTGCGGGCACATCCCCAGTAGGGGGTGTGCAAGAGGCAGCTGATCGATGATTCTCTCTCATCAATGTTTCTAACTCTCTATCCCTTTCTCTTCCTCTCTGTGAAAAATCAATAAAAATATATTTTTAAAAAAATAAAGTTTAACATTATAAAATTAACAAAAATAATATGAAATTCATATTCTGACTAAATAGCCACATGGCCGCCGAAAACCGTATGTCCCCTTCCCATTCTCCCACCGTTCCCTAGC